ATTTCATGTCCTTTTCCAAGTGCATGAAAGTGAGTGTAAACAACTCAATTAGAATTGCAACCCATTGACCATTACACTACCTACACATTCACAACAGTGTACAAGGCATACAAGAAAAGTACTATAATATTAATCTTGACTAAGAAATTGCATTAAGTTCAAAGCAGGTGTAATTTTTCACTCAAACAATGCACGTTTGTCTGCTCCTAAAATACAGTCAGTTATCTGAATGGTTAACTTCTATCCAATGCTAACAAGATCCATATATTTGGCGGTGTTTTGCTTGTTAAGAAAGAATTATCTATTTTGTCAATTTGGCAACAAAAATTTTATGATAACCAATATTCATCATACATTAACATTTCAAGTGGAATTTCTTTTTTTTTTTACCCTAACTATAATCATTCTAGTATTTCATACATAACTGTATGCCGAAATTTTTGTGCATACCTGTTATGCTAGAACATCATAACCACAGAAAACTCCAAACCCAGGTTTTTGTATTGGGGGAAAAAAAAAAAAAAATACTCAAATAGCAAGGATATGTGAGATTGATCAAAGCATATTATTTCCTTCTCAAATGAAGCAATTTTTTGCAAACTGAAGTAAGATATTGAGTTTGTTAGGAAGTATAAAAATATTTTAGATGCTGAAAAATGGTAAAGTACATAAGGTTGAATTCTACCTAACAATGTCAGCAATTACATCCTTGAAGGTAAATTGGTACATGGAGGTAACTTGGGTATAAAAAAATAAAATAAAATCGGTGATGCCGAATTCCAAGGTCATTGGCGGTCACCAGATGTCAATTTGAGATTAAAATAGCTTTCAGCCATGAGAAAGAAATAGAGGATAAAACAAACCTTAAACCACAAGAAGATCTATACTTTAGGAATGGAAGCTTTTTTAACATTAAGTGCTTTGCTCTGACAAATTTTTCGGCTTTTCTTTTAGAAACTTTGAGACTAAAAAGGTGACTATGCAGTAAAAAGAATAAAGGTTGAAGGGTGATCAAAGTCCTTATTCAAAGTGACGCTTTTCTTTTTACTTAGCTGGGTGTACTTTTATAGTTGAATTTTATAACTTTCAAAAGATCACATAAGCTCCATGAATGAAAAAGCCAAATGTATATTTTATTTTATGCATTGTCTAAGGTTTAAAGTTGAAAATAATGAAATTTAATTTGTAAGAAGAGTTTGTTTACTTTGTGTTTTTTCATTAAATGATAAATATCAAAATCACAATAAAAGCTGCAAAAAAAAAAAAAAAAAAAAAAAAAAGCAGTAACAACTGTTTTCTGGAGGTTAAATCGTAAACTTTTTTTTTTCTTTGCTCGAAAAATAAAGTGGATAGATTTTTTTTTTTACATTAATTTTTTTTCCAAATAGTGCGACACAATTTTGAAGTTAATGCGTCATTAAGTAAGAAGAATAAAAAGATTTTTAAGTCGTCACAGCAACATTTCATAATGAAAGAATGACTTGCAACTCCTTAAGAAAGAAACATTTCATTTACTAAGAAATTGGTGGGTCGTGAACAAAACAAAAACTTAATTATTAATTAATTAGTATTATATTTCAAAGTTAATAAAACTAGAGCACATTCGATTTATTCAGATTTTTTTTTTGGTTTTCCTTTTTTAGAGTTTAAGAAAAGTTCTAATTCATATTGTATTTTTTGTGCATTAAATTATTAAATGAAAACATGGACATGTAACTAGTGTGACATGTTTTATAAAAAAAAAAAAAAAAAAAAATTGCTAAAAATTTATTGGTCCGACACACTTTACTTTACTAAGAAAAAAAAATCTAATCAAATGAGCTTGTAAAAAGGATATTCTTGATCTGGCCGAGAACTTTCCACCATCGGGAGTTCAGAGTGGGCAAACCGCAAGAGCTAATTCCCTTATTTCACAAAAACTTAAAATATTACTTGGGTTAAAAAGAATATCCTAAGATATGAAAGAATAAGAAGAGTAAGACTAATTATGACAGCTTTAAATAAACTTCCTATGTAAGTAAATAAATTACTTATTTCTTGGTCCTTACAAAAGAAAAAAAAAGTCAGAAACAAAATCTTACTTCCAATAATTTCAAACTTTCAAATATTTTTTTTTTTTTTTATTGACAACACTTTGGCGTCACAAAACTAAAAGTAATAAAATTAAGAGCGAAAACAATAGAAGAAAGGCACAATTTTTTTTAAGGAAAAAAAAAAAAAAAAGGTCAAACAGGATGTTTCTTCCTAAGTCCCAAAAAGAAAAATGTATTTTAGAATTTCCTGTAATCAACAAAACTAAAGAAAAGTATTTCCATTTAAACTGAATGAAGCCTGCATTATTAAATCAACTTTTTACTTTATTAGTTAGAACTTTAACGTATGATTTGATTATTTTTAGGAATGAAACGACAAAGAAAGTTGAGTTGAGACTTGAGAAACGTCTTGTGAAAGATTTAGTTTTTACTAAAAAATGTATAATTTTTTTTTTAAATAGTATAAATGATTTTTAATACTATTTAAAAGTCAACAAAAAGGAACAATGAATCAAATTAACTGTTCACCGAAAAAAAAAAGTTTAATTGCAAAAAATAAAAACATGAATGAGCTCCAAAGTTAAGTTTCTAAATAATACGCATCATATCGTTGGTCTCACAGGACTGATAAAAGATTCCTTTGTAAAAAAAAAAAAAAAAAAAAAGATAAACAATGAAGGAAAAAAAACAGCAATCTCACGTCTAACCAGTTGTATTATTTTTATTTTACTACCATTTTAGATTTTCTTATCGGAGGGTGATGATGTGCGAGTCTTCCTTTTCGTGTGAAAGGTCTGCCTATCACCATTCAATTCAAAATCTTGGGTTCTATTGCTTCAGCTACTTGGAATTTCCATTTTGGTCTATTTTTCCTTCTTTCCATTCTTTCTCAATATAAGTCGTGGAAAGTAAGGGAGGAATTGACTTCCGTCACTGATAATACCGTAAAAAAAAGACTGACCTTTTTCGTAACCCCTAAGGCAAGGGATTTTTAAACAATTTCCGTTCCAGTTTCTCTCTTGAGTACTTAATAATGCTGATATGATCTTTGTCTAAGATTTTACAAATAGTATTTTTGAAGCTTACTTTCACAAAAATTCTTAATCACTTCCTCTCCCCCACCAATTCAATGGTATTTTTTGTTGCAGTTACAAAATCGTTGTATAAATAAAAAATCATTTTAGATTTAGTAAAAATCCATAAACTAAAAAAAAAAAAAATGTTCAACACATTCAACGGGTGTGTAACGGATGGTTTTTGTCAAAAAGAAAAAAAATGTAGAACTTTTTCAAAAGACAGGCGCGAAAATGTGTCGTTTGCTTACTAATAAAAAAAAAAATTACAAATGTATGAGCTTTTTAAAAAAAATAAAATAAAATAAGTAAATCAAAGGTGATTGAATGAAAAAGTTTTGAAATCAAAGTTTGTTTTTTTTTTAATGCCTTCAGTAAAGTATACATTTTAAATTTTTATTTTTAGATATAAACTTTCTTTTTCACAAGGAAAAGGAGGCAAGCCTTTCATGATTATACAAAAAGCCCCGTTCACTGATGTATCAGAGGAAAAGTGTCAAATAGCGTGAAGAAAACTAATTAAAACATTTCTTACTAGCAGAGTAAGACTTAGAAGACTATAATGCAAGATACTCACATGGAATGCAGACACCTGTTATTTAATGACTAAGTAAGACTTCAATAAGTATGTACACACACACAGAGAGAGGCTTTGTCAAGGACTACAGAGACTTGCCCATCATTCAGTCACAAACAAGTGTCCATTTTTTTCGATTGCTAACAGGACAAAATATTTCTTTCTGGTGACAAGTTATGAGGTTGAGAGAAAGAAGTACAAAAATGAAGATTTTATATGGTGTACTAAATTGAAGTTAAAACGTAAATTAAGATGTCACATTTAACAACAAAACAAGTTTTAAGAATAATCAGATCAAGTTTTTAAAATTTAAGAAAGAAACTGAGAAATTCATTTTTTTTAAGAATTATTTAAAAATAATAAAATTATTAACGAAGATAATCTCAAAGTTACAATAAAAAGTTAAATGGAAAAGTCTCTTTGCTTTGCTAGATTCAGTTAACATTTTTCTATGAAACTAATTTTCTGTTATTTATATTTTTGTAACTAATATAAATAACAGAAAATAACAATTTTAATTATTAACTATGTCATACAGTTTGTGTACACTGTACAATAATACATTGTTAGGTAGATAGGGAACTTTAGAGACATTTTATTTAAACTATTTGCAGAAATTTATTAAAAATAAATTACATTTTGTAGTGAAATGTAATAGAAATGAAAAGATAACGAACGAACGATAAAAAAAAATTACAAAAAAAAAAAAAAAAAAGGAAACACCGCAAGATTTGTTTATTATATCATTTGCGGGAGTAAACAATGCATTGAATGAACATCTTTTAACTTCTACTTGTTGGAAGTGATTTTGCTCCAAAAATTAAGAAAGAAAAAAATAATTCATCAACTGCAACTACCATCATGGCTCACACTCCACCGTAAACAAAAAGGTGGAGCAAAAAGTCTTTGCTTAAACAACTAAGTAAAAAATTTCATTTGTTGTTTAATCTCAACTGTTTATTGATCAAAGATTTTTTCAAATGGGTTTTTAGAAAGTGATGTTTCTGACGATGTAGGCATTAACTACTTCCAAATGTTTTATCATGAAATAGTATTTCATTTATAAAATATATTTCCATGGAAATCAATGGGTGTGTGTGTGTGAGAGAGAGAGAGAGAGAGCGCGCGCGCAAAAACACAAAGTACTTTTTTTAACCATGCAAAATAATCGAAAATAAGCAGAACTAGTAATACATTGTTCTCATGCTGAGCAAATTGTCTAAGATAGCGCAAAGTTACACCTAGGAATATATGAAAAGACGAACTGAAAAAAAAAAAAAAAAGAAGAAAAATCAAGTAGTTTTTGGTTGTACTTACCTGGTAAGAGGAAACAAGCTAGCAACAATAGCGCACTGTTCTGGAAGCACACATGGACGGCACTTTTCCAAAGATTGAATTTAAACAAAGAGTAATTCCGTTCAGTCATTGTATTTAATCCAAGGAAATACTTTAATTTTAAAAAAAGACTAAAAAAAAAAAAAACACAACAACAAATCGTGTTGGTTTATATGGTCAGCAGATATAATTTTAAAAAACAAGAGTCCTCCATAAAGTATATTTTCATAAAATGGTACATCTTGGATCCTTCTTCAATATTATCAACAAAAAAACACTTCAAGTGTAAACTCAGAAGACAGAGGAAATCAGCTATGTGCTGAACCTATTTTGGTTGTGAAATTAAGAGCGAGTTGTCAGTTGAGATATCCAATTGTAATTGATTGATCGATTGAAGAAGAGAAATGAGAAGGGGGGCAATGAGGAGAGATGCTGAATTTTGTCGACCAACCTCGACAATCGAGATGGACACATGTGGCTGTAGAGATGATTCTTCGCAGGCAGCAGGTGCCGGCGCACACTTCCGGGTCCCTCACTAGACACAGGTGAGAGAGAGAGAGAGAGAAGATTTATATTGGCGCACCTTCTTAAAAGGGGTTATCTTCAAGAGATCTACGCGTTGTTGTTCGTCAGATGTAATAATTTACTTTGTAGTTGTCAAGAAACGTGATTTCCATGACAAAAATATCCAGTTAACTAACACAAGTAACCAGGAAAAGCAACTCGAATGAATGTGAAGAAAAAAAAAAAAAAAAAAAAATATATGAATCAAGATTTGTCAGCGAGGATTGAAGTTTTGTTTTTTTTTGTTTTAAGATACGGTTTTGTTTTTAGCTTGATTTACTTACTGCACTGCATAAAAGCAAAGAGATTTTAGACTCAAGTTAAAAATAATTTGGAAAAGAAAGCGTGGTATAACTTATCTTTTTAAAAATTAAGTATTTCAGAAAGATCCTGAGAAGTTACACTTGGCTGTACACTCGTACAGTGTATAATAGACAAAACGGCAACCGAGATTTAGTTTAGTGACAGAAACATTTTCAAAAGTGACTATAAAAAAAAAAAAAAAAAAAATTTTTTTTTTTAAGTGGACTTTAAAAAGGTGTAAAAAGAAAAGTTACGCGACCCTTGCTGATGAGCAAAAATTCAAGTTGAATAAAGAACTGGCAAGAAGAGGGGGGCTCGTGTAGCGTATGAATATCTCTTTTGGTTAAGGGGCAACGGTTTTCTTTACATTACAACGAGAGAAATCGTTGAGAGTTGTTTTCACGCATCAGAGTTCATTAAAAAAAAAAAAAAAAAAAAGATAGGTGCAAACAAAAATGTAAGACGTTAAAACTTAAAAATAAGAAAAGAATGCATGGAAAAGTAGTAAAAACAGGAACTGTTGTGTTGTGTACTTTGTTTGCAGTTATTTCGATTGTCTTTTTTGTTTGTTTGTTTTTTTTGTTTTTTGTAAATAATCTAATTAACGACCACGAAAACAAGAATATTTTGTTTTCCAGAACAGTACAGTCAGATACAAAGAGACTCTTCGAATTATAGGGATGGATGCTTATTTCAATTATTTTTGCTATAAATGAAAGTGAAGTGGAGTAAATTACAAATGAAAACAATTTTTTTCCACTTTAAAACCGTTCGAGTTCGGTTAAAACGGATTTATAAACTGGGAAGAAAAAAAAATTCTTTCCTTTCACAATATTTCAACAACTAAATGTTACACAACGTTTGGCTGTTAGTCAATCTGTATCTTTATTTACCTAGCGTTAGGCCTCGATAAACAAGTAACAGTTTATTTCGCCAGCGTATGTAACAAATTTCAAATAAAGTGGATACTTAACAGGTAAAAATCCCACGTTGTTTTGAGATTGAATTTTTCGTTCGTCGATCTGATGGATCCAAACCAAAATAATGTTCCTTTGATGAAATCAGATTTGTTTCCTTTTGGTGTTGGTGATGGAGGGGCAATTGCGACTGACTTTTTTTTTTAACATCTGTTTTAATAAAAATACTTCTATTGTGGGTTTGAATATTCAAAAAAGCCAAACAATATCAGATTCCAACCATATCAATGTCAACAAATAACAAAACACTAGTTAGTAGTTGTAGTTACCCTTCCTTAAAAACTAAAATAAATAGAAAAGTTAGAAAACATTAAGATTTTTTCCATTTGCATGTATGTTAAAATTGGGCTTTTTTTAGTGTCATTATTTGACACTGAAGCTGATAAGGACTGACTCAATTGAAAAACAGTCGGAGAGGGGGGGTGCAAGTTATTATTAAGCAGAGAGATAGAGAGAAAAAGCCAACTTTTTTTTTTCTTTTCTTCCAATTTCACCTAGCTGTTTCGATCACTAGCAACGAACTGCTGCTGCCTCTTGTGTTTGTGACGGGGTCTGTAAATAGTCATTGTTGATATTCTTAGGATGTTGGTTGGCGTCATGTCCCAGCCCTATTCATAAAGCGCCATATACCTCTTCTCAAGCAACACATGGACGGAAGGAAGGACGGAGTTATAGAAATAAAAAGAAAATGAAAAAAAAAAAACGCACACAAACACTTGTTTTCGTCACTTACTCGTCGTGCTTTTTCAACAATGTTTATGTACCTACGGCTCTCACCGAGTTACAAGTCATTATCATCTATTGTTGCTTAAGCGAGTACGTCTCCATATCTGCACCCTTTAGTTTAGGGATACTGGAAACCTCATCCATGGCAATCTCCGTTTGATATTACTGTTCACCAAAAATAGTCATTGTTACTCACTACAGTCTTTTGCCGGCCCTTATGAGTTATGCAGACATCGTCAGCATAAAACGGTGTGTGCAGTAGCAGTAGGTACCATACTACAAATGTTACTCTGATGTAATACGAGAGCTTTTCTATTTGCTTCTCCCTAACCAGCCTCGTTTTTATTCTCGCTATGACATTCATCTGCTGGATTAGTTGTCACTAAACTTCGCTTATGAACTAGATTAGTTATGTCTATCCGTGAAACCTCATTTGAATTTTATTTAAATGCTTGGAGTCGAATTTTAAAAGAAATTTGATATAAATAATAAAACTCATATATTTTGCTCAATTTGACTTTTTCATCATTAGGAATTTGTAAATCTCATTTCTTCAGAATTAATCTATCTCTATCTCTACCTAAAATCACTTAAAAATATCTTTTTCAAGTATAATCTTTCATAATTTCACTAACTGAACTAATCCAAACTTAATGGAATGCCAGTGGTGATCCTTTTCAAAATATTACTCATTGTTGATACAGTTGACCACAACAAAATATTTTCTATTGACTTAGTTTTTAATGAAACGATTATATGATAATATTTTGTTTTTGTCATTTTTCACCTATTACCACTAGCATATTTCAGTCTGAATAGCTTTCTTTTTATTTAAATAAATGATTTTAGCTTTTAATAATCCTACAGTTAACCAAATCAGAAATAACTTTTACTTAAAGTGCTTGTTTTCCAGTGTTGTGGATATTTAAGAAACTTTTCAAAGCTATCATATTTGTTCATATAAGAGCTCTTCTTATTCCTCCTAAAAAATATGGTATAAAAAAAAGATATCTCCCAGATCTTATATACTTATCAAGTAATGTTTACTCAAATGTTTTAGATTCCAGGCAGGTATTTGTACATAACTTAACCCCATAATACTGTAATATTAAAACTTGCTGCTTTTTCATTATTTTCATGGAAAATGTTCAAACAAAATACATTCCTTAGTTCCACCAGTTCTAACCTTCATGGCTAAGACCCACCATGCCACGCCCATTGCAGTGAATTGCCCTCACTCCCTTCATATATCTTTGGTGAGATGTAAGTTCCACTTGAGCAGCTTGTTCTCACAAACTGCTTCTTTATAGAACCTACTTTATAGAACATATAGAGGCTGCTTCCCTGATCACTACAATCTTAACCTGTCCAAGTCTAGGGTTAACCATTATCTTCCCTACATATCTCCATAAACTGTCCCTCTTACTCTGTAACCCGCTACCCAAGTAGCTCTTAGGCATTGTAAAAAAAACATTAAATAGAAAAAAAATGATATCTTATATGTAAAGTTGAGGTATTTGGTAGGGTAATGTTTACTCAGACACCATAGACTATCAGTACTTGTACCTAATTCCATAATAATTAAATGTAACATATCATCAAATATGGTAATTTTCTTAACTTTGTTTTTTTTTTTGTAGTACAAAGCACTGTTAAGTTTGATATTGGCACAATAAAGAATTACTCTCAAGAACCCTTTATATATCTTACATCTGTCGGGATTCGTCTACCCAGGTTTTTGTTTTTGTCTTAGTGTCAGGATTCCAAACATTTAACAACAATACATCTTTTAAATGAAATATAAAAAAGGTTATTCATGGAAGGAAAAGTAGAAGCAGAACATCAGTTGAAATAACATTTATATATTCTTTTTGGAAATATACAATAACAACAAAATGTTTAATTTTCCTTGTAGTGAAGTTTGTTTTTATCAAGTAATTATGTGTTCATAAATGTGAAATGTGTAGACAGACTTACTTTATGACAGTCAGCCTAATGTTTTTGTCAGTGCATAGACAAGGCCTTAATCAATGACTGCTGGATGTTGTCTGGTATTATGTGTGTGTGTGTATGCACATGTAGATCAAACTGGCCTCCGAAATTGTCTTGAGCCTTGAGAAGCAGTAGGCTTCTGTTTTTATATCTGTAAGGGGGATCTGAAATTTAATTTCGCATAAAGGTGTCAACTTTTTGAATACAAGGTTTTCATTAATTAGAAAATATTTTCACACTTACTCATGAAAATCTTTTTCTCAAATTTGCGGGAGTGGTGAAGGTAGTTATTACTGTTATTTTCTAAATGGTCCAAAAATAACACATGGTAGGTCTACAACTACATCTGCACAAAGTCCATTAGCAAACAAGGTAGAATAATCTCACACTGGCTTAAAACTATATCGGTAAGAAATTAGTTAAGAGGTATTTATAGCATGTTGACTTTATGTTGCTTGTAAAAAAATGTTAGATTTATCATGATGCATCTTTTAAATGGGTTAATCAATTTGAAATATAGGGTGTTCCA